TTACACAAAAACATTATACCCTGATTTTCCATTTTCAATGGGTTCAGGGTATAAAAATGGTTTATCCCAATTAAATAAGATTATATTCAGAGGGATTTTGAAGAAAGATAATCAAAATGCGCTGCGCTGCAGTGTGGGCTATATTGTAAGCATTTATTTGTTGTTCTCTTGTTGTCGAACTATCTTCATGATTTTGAAATCGGTCAAAATCTGTAGATTATAAAATCTGTGAATTCTCTAAAAAATGTATAAGCACAGTATGTCTGTTCTACGTTCTACGGTCTTGGAAATACATATATCGAAGGATTGATGAATCATTCAGAAAATGCTAAGGATAAATTAAAACTATTTAACAAGTTTTTAATCATGCTAGATAATTTAAGCAAAAATATAGAATAATTTTATAACACGATTTGCAATGCAAAATATATACAATATATGTATATATATGAAAATATATATAATATACATATTCATATTGCATAAAAAATGCTGCATTAAAGAGATTGGGATACAATTTTTGCAATTTATTGCAGCCCTGTGGATTCGTCAAAACTGAACCTTACTATTAATGAAAATCGAATATACAAGCAATTGATCTGTTTTGGAAACTTATCGTTGAACTTATGGATGTATAGAGCATATCATATCACATACCCCCATTAGCTTGCGGTTGGCATTGCGGAGCTTTGCTATCAGGTCGGACCCTGTACACGAGCCTATCAGAAGTGGCTCAAATAAAGCTAATCTGGCCGAAAATTCCAAAGCACATATAATTGGTAATCAGTTCTATATTTGCCAATCGCGCGACCAGATGCAGAAAAGTAGAGAGAGTACACATATTATGCGGCTTGGCGTGATGCTGCTTTTCACCTGGGCAGGCATTGCATTGGGCTCTGAGCTGCCACCCCAGGGACGTATAATCAATGGCTCCAAAGTGGATATCGCCCGTCATCCGTATTGCGTTTCGATACGTTATCGGCGCAGCAATGAATCCGCTTACTACCACGAATGTGCGGGAGCCATCTACACGGATCGAGCAATCCTGACAGCGGCTCAGTGCCTGGAGAATGTGCAGATGGGCACAAGAATGTGGGTAGTTGCTGGTGCCAATACGCGAAATGGCACCGATGGATTGGTTTATCCCGTCGCCAAATGGGTATTCCATCCAGAGTTTAGCCCGATTACAGCGGACTATGACATTGGGTTGATCCTGCTGGACACGCCCCTCGACCTGAACAACTATCGCATTAGGAAGATTGCGCTGCGTGCCGAGAGACCAGCCGCTGGACGAACTGCCATCGTCGCTGGCTGGGGCTATCGCGAGGAATGGGGACCTTCCAGCTATAATCTGGAGCAGGTACACGTGCCTATCGTTAGCTCTGAGCAATGCAACGATATCTATGGAAAGGGTGAGGTGACTGAGCGCATGATCTGCGCAGGCGATGTGGCTCAAGGTGGTCGCGATGCTTGCCAAGGCGACACCGGAGGTCCACTTATTGTGGACGAGCAGCTGGTGGGTCTCGTATCATGGGGTCGCGGCTGTGGGCGTCCTGGATATCCCTCAGTTTACACCTTTGTCCCGAGTCTGAAGCCCTGGATCGATGAAATGATCGAGCTCGCTGGAGGGCTATAAACTGTTGTACTGATATGCGCTATAAATAAGCTGTTTAATACGATACTTATATGACATTCCATTGCCAGTTAACTGCTTAGTCAATAATAAAACAAGTAAGAAGGCCCTAGTCGAGACTGCTCGACTAGGAGATACCCTGAACCCTCCAAGCTGATATTACTATCATTCTGCACTTCTTTTATGCACGTACACATACATACATATGCATCCACCCTCACGCGCCCGCGCTCTGCTAACTTATTTATTTGTTGAATAACTTCTTTTTTAGACACACAATCTTATTGAAATTTTCAGTCTTTAGTACTTGAAATACGCTTCGTACAAATTTGGGGAGAAGGGGCGTGTTATCCAAAATCTGTTGATTACAAATTGTTTGTATGTATATATATATATATATATATATATATATATATATA